TTCTGTCAGTCTGCCCCAGGGCAGCTGTGGCTACAACCGTAGCTTGCCTCCACCAGTGTGTGAATGTGAGAGTGAATGAATAGTGGCATTGGAAAGCGCTTTGGGTGCCTTGAAAAGCGCTATATAAATCCAATCCATTATTATTAAAAACAGCCAATTTATTTTTTATCATCAGCTCCCTCAGCAGCTGTAAGTTTGTAGTCACCTTTACACCTTTACTTTATGGTTGAATCACAGGTGAGTAAATATTCATTTTCCTCCGTAAGTAGTATTAAATCCACAAACGTATACACACACAAACACACACACACACAGATTTTTCATGTGGGGTCACCTTCCTTCTTGTAGAAGACCAGCTCAGTCTTGAACTCCCTCCGTTCATCCAGGGCTCCTTGGATCTGGGCCGTTGACCGGTCGCTCGTTTCTGGGCCGTACAGGAAGTGACACGCGCAGCTCTTCTGCATGAGTTCGGCACGGGCGTAACCAGTGAGCTCACAGAAACCATCAGAGCAGTAAACGATGGGGTAGAGTGACTGCACCTGGGCGTTTCCCAGAACAAAGTTGCTGTCTGCAAAGAGAGAGAAGAGAAAGCAGAGAGCAATCACTATGACTGTGTCATGAAGACAATTGGCAGAGCTAGTGTTCATGCATACAGCTCCCGAAAGGATGTTTTTATATCCATTAAGCCTAAAATCGATGTAGTAGACCGCTAGTGTTTGTGATAAAAAATACATAAACTCAGCCACCAGAAAACAACAAAAGCTTGTCAGACTAGCTGTGACTCCGACTGTAGCATTGGAGCAAAAAAACTATGATTGTGCAATCAGTGTTGGGCTCCTGAAGGGTTGGGCTGGTAAACAACAGACTAATTTATACTGCCAATCATCACATTAGTTAACCTGGTGTAAAAGTAGGCCACATGTTCCACTTTCTTACAGCTATAAGACCCACAGCCTCTGGATGGCAGGAGGAGGGCGACCCGTCTCATTCAAATCTGTTGCCTTTGAGAAGCGTCTAACACCGTACTCTTTTGAGAGTGAGGATGGCAACGAAAGTAACTAAAAGTAGGATGGAGCTACTGAGAGGTAAGGTAGAATAGCAAGAATAAATGAATGTGAATGAATGAATAAGTGAATGCAGTTTACTAGAAACCACACACAGCACAGGTGATCAAGGAGTTCAACAAGAAATCTAGTCGTTCTGACATTTCTGATGTTTACGTCCTAGATTCAAAGGGGAAAAAAAACATTTATGGAGAAAATAAGATCGTGTTGTATATTAAAATGCACTAAAAATAATTTGACTTGTAGAATCAGTTTTTAAGAGTTGGAGCATCAACGGTTTCTGTGGTTGCGTGTTATACGGAAGTGTAAAACTATTCATTAAGTGAAATAAAATAAAAACTTTCCTTCTAAAAAAAAATTGAATCTCTATTGTATACTTGTTTAAGCTGAATACAGCACCCATATATACATATTTATCATATTTTACTTTAAGTCTTTGTGGAGAATATGATAAATGTGTGTTAATGGGATGGGCTCCACCCCGACATGCCACACCAAATCCCTGCTCACAACCCTGAGTTGGATAAGCAGTTAAGAAAATGGATGGAACTATTTTAT